TTTATTGTCAAATTAGTTTCTACATAACACTCAGTGCTCATCCCCAAAGTGCCCTCCTTCATGCCCATTCCCCCCTCCCCCCTATTTTTAATTTTCTGAGGATCCTCCATACTCTTTTCCACCAAGTGGGCAGTTTGTTTGGTTTTGGTTTTAATGCAAGGTTAGTACCTCTTCTCTTGGTTCTTTTATAGTTTTACATTCATAGACATGTGCCCCCAAATACATGACTTTTCTTATAATCAGAAAGAGCAAAAGCTGTATCCATTTTGGAAGAAAATTCTCCCAAAACAGAAGGAAAAAAATGGACATGGCTTATTGGGAGGATCAAAGAGGTCACATGTATTCACACGTGGCGGGTGTCTGGGAGAACCCACATTAGAAAAACTGCTAGGTTTGGAGAGCCACGCTTTCCTACAACAGATCAAGAACATAGAACTGAAATATACCCATGTCATCTTAAGAATTAATTTCCTTTGAAATGGGCAGAAAACATGAACAGACATTTCTCCAAAGAGGACATCCAGATGGCCAACAGACACATGAAACGATGCTCAGCATCCCTACTCATCAGGGAAATACAAATCACAGGGAAATACACTGAGATACCACCTCACAAAGGTCAGAGTGGCTAAAATGAACAAATCAGGAGACTACAGATGCTGGCGAGGATGTGGAGAAACGGGCACCCTCTTACACTGTTGGTGGGAATGTAAACGGGTGCAGCCCCTCTGGAAAACAGTGTGGAGGTTCCTCAAAAAATTAACAGTAGAACTCCCCTATGGCTCAGCAATAGCACTGCTAGGAATTTACCCAAGGGATACAAGAGTGCTGATGCACAGGGGCACATGTACCCCAATGTTCATAGCAGCACTCTCAACAATAGCCGAATCATAGTAACAGCCTAAATGTCCATCAGCTGATGAATGGGTCAAGAAGATGTGGTTTATCTACACAATGGAATACTACATGGCAATAAGAATGAAATCTGGCCATTTGCAGCAACATGGATGGAACTTGAGGGTGTTATGCTGAGTGAAATGAGAGGCAGAGAAGGGCAGATACCATATGTTTACATGTATAGGTGGATTAGGAGGAACTTAACGGAGGACCATGGGGGAGGAGAAGGGGAAAAATAATTGAGGAGAGGGAGGGGGGCAAACCATGAGAGACTCTTGAATGCTGAGAACAAACTGAGGCTGATGGGAGTGGGGGAGAGGGGAAGGGGGGTGATGGGCATGGAGGAGGACACTTGTTGGGATGAGCACTGGGTGTTATATGGAAACCAAGTTGACAATAAACTATTTAAAAAAAAGAATTAATTTCCTTTGTTTTCCTAACATTTACCAAAATGAAATATTTTAACAAGACAGTGACGGTGACTTTTGTATTCTGTTGGATATCTAAGTGTCCAGCCCTCAGATGCAAGCTTTTACTTCTGTTCAAATATCCTATTTTACCACACTGGATATTAAGATTAGTTAATTTATTTTTATTAAGACTTACTTTAAATATTGGGAGAGCTGTTCACTTCTTGATTTAGACTTGGCCCTTACTTTGTCACACTTCTGAAGAAGAGTAAGGCATATATTTTAGGTGGAGATAATAATACGTGTGGAGTGGGAGGGATGGAAACAACAAATGAATTCTATGTATGCAAATTATTCGGGCCATTTGTAGAATTACAAAGGAATATGGTTGGTAAAATGGGGGTGATGTGGAGGTGCTTTGAAGGCCAGGCTGAGGGATCTGAATTTCATTTAATTGGATCCATTACTGGTCTTTGAGTAAAGGAATAACAAATGATAGAATTCTGAGAACACCATTGCTACCAGCTACATACAGGAATGGGGTGGGGGTTGGGCCAGGAATTAGAGCTGTCACTTCTATGAGTTAATAAGGGTCTGGATTCGGCTACTGTAATCTCAAACCTTAGCATGCATGAAAATCTCCTGAGGTGGGACGCGTGGAAAAATACATATTTCCTTGGCGTCACCTGAAAGATTCTGATTCAGGAGATCTGGTGTAGGGCCCGGGACTTTCTAATGAGTGAAACTTGGGTGGCTGTGATCTTCAGATCACACTTTGAGAAATACTGAATGGGTTACAGGAATGGGAAGATGGGTCAGATCTTAGAAATACCATGAAGAGAGATGTATGAAAGGCATCGGGTAATCACTGGAAAGGGAGAGAAGAGAGGCATAAGAGACTTACAGATTCCTAGAGACTAGGTGGGCAGAAGGACTGAGCAAAGGGGAACCTGGAAAGGTGTCATCAGAAGCAGAAATAATACTGGATTTGGTCATGTGCTCAGGGATCTGTAGAGAGTCACGGGGAGATGGTGTGGAGACAACTGAGAACCGGAGAAGCGAGAAAGGGCGGCAAGGTCAGGGCTGATACCGTGCATTCCACGATGTACCAGGAGGCAGCAGGGAGCAGGACTGAGGGAAAGGTGGTGGGGAGTGAGGAAACGGAGGGATTACAGACACGTCGCAGTGTCCGCTGTCACAGGTCATCGGAGAGAACAGGGTGGCGCGTCCGGTTCAGAGGCTGCTGAGTGGAAGCCTCTACGGGCACGCTTCTCTGTGGCACAAGAAGGGGGAGAGCTGTTCCGGGTAGAAGGGGGAGAGCTGTTCCGGGTAGAAGGGGGAGAGCTGTTCTGGGTAGAAGGGGGAGAGCTGTTCCGGGTAGAAGGGGGAGAGCTGTTCCGGGTGAGCTGACGGGGGATCATCTGGGTCTGCCTTCTTCCAGCCCCTCTTGCTCTATGCCTCCCAGTGGGACTGCGCCTGCTCTGAAAGATCAGTACTTCTTAAACTGCAGTGAGCAGGTGAATCACCTGGGGGAAATCACCTATTAGAAATGCAGATTCTGATTCAGTAGTTCTGGGGTGGGGCCTAAGCATCTGCAGTTCTCACATACTCTAAAGTGATCTCACTGCGGCTAGTCCTCAGATCGTACTTGGAGAAAGATGGTGTCAAAATCTCTGTTGGCGAATATTCTATACACAGAGGCAGAAGACAGTGGGCAGACAGATCAGAGTAAAGCAAAAACGTGGTTTGCCATTTATACGGGTTAGATAAAACCCTCAGTGGGTTTAGATCGGTGGTTCACAGCGGAGGGCAATTTTGCCTCCAAGGGGACAGCTGGCAATGTCTGGAGACATTTTTGGTGGTCACTCCTTAGGGTGTGGGGGCGCTATAGGTTAGTAAAAGGCAGAGGTCAGGGATGCTGCTAAACATTGACAATGCATAGGACAGTCCCCCAACAAAGAATGATCTAACCCAAAGTGTCAACGGTGTCAAGGTTGAGAAATTCTAATTTAAGTGAAGAAGACTTTTGTAGTAGAAAGAGCAAAGACTCTGTAGTCTAGGATCTAATATAAGCCCTGACATTTACCAGTTGTGTGACTTCAGAAAAATCCCTTAACTTCGCTGAGTTTTGTTTTCATAACTATGAAAAAAGGTTGACAAGTTGTGGGGCTCATGACTCAGCAGGCCTCTGTAAAGAGCAGTCTCCTTTCCTTCATTTGTACCTTAGGGTGCTTGGGCCAAGAAAGAATAAAATCTAGCACAGACATGGAATGTAGTAGGACCAAGCCCATGGGGCTTCTGGGTCAAGGGTAAGCTCTTCAGGGCAAAGAATGAAAAAAATTCTAAGTTAGTACTAACCACCAAGTTGCCAATAACCATGACCATCATGAAGACAATGAGGCACATGGCCTGGCCCGCCACTTCCATGCAGTCCCACATGGTCTCGATCCACTCCCCGCACAACACTCGAAAGACAATGAGGAAGGAATGGAAAAAGTCATTCATGTGCCAGCGAGGGAGTTCGCAGTCCTGGTTGATCTTGCAGACACACTCTTTGTAGCTCTTTCCGAAGAGCTGCATCCCCACCACGGCAAAGATGAAGACGATGATGGCCAGCACCAGGGTCAAGTTGCCCAGGGCACCCACTGAATTTCCAATAATCTTAATCAGCATGTTCAGGGTGGGCCAGGATTTGGCCAATTTGAAGACTCGGAGCTACAAAAACCAAACAAAGATCAAATCATACTCAATCTATTTTCTTACCACATCGCTAAAATAAAAACATAAAATCTGTAAGATCAGCTTAAATTTATTGAACACCCTTGGGAGGTTCCTAGGACTTTCTGTTTTCGACCACAGTGGGAGAACATGAGGCATAGATGGGGAAAATGGATTAATTTCACAGTAAGGGAAAGATTTAGAACTAAGAGTCAAGAATACTGCCTAGATCTAGCCCCCTGTATTGGTCCCTGGGTCAGTCCACTTTTTAAAAACCCATACATGAACATATCCTTTCCTACTGATTTTGCCTTGACTTCTCAAGGAAAATGTGATTTGTAGTGAAGCAAAAGGTCAGAATAGGAAGGACAGTGAAAATAAGTCATCTCTTTTTCAAAAACATGCATTTAAAAATTCTGAAATCTCTCTTTTTGACCAGTGGCTGATATGAAACTTTGTGATATACTTGGAATAATTTGGAGAAAAAGCACCACACCCAGGTAGGGGCAGTTGCACACATATCAAACATCGTATGAAAAGGGACTATAATGATATTAATTCAGAGGACAGAACTTCTGTTATCTGCAACCATGAAATTTCAATATTTTGTAATGAATGATTTACAAGGTCGTAGCTAATAGTCTGAGAAGTATAAATGAAGAAAGGGACCTTGAATGAAATGATAATGAGATCATTCTCAGACGTCATGAGTTAATGACTAACACATGAGATAACAGGAATTGTGGTAGAAGGCAATGGTGGCAATTGGGACACTTTTCCTTTGAAAGCTTGAGCCTTATCTGAGGGCTCAAGAGCTACCAGGTGCTTCTCTGTGTGAATATCTGGGTCATTCATATTTTTCCCCTTTCTGACTGGCTTTTTAATCACTAGGAATATTAGTGCTAAGGTGGCTTCTAGCTCTTATTCCTTCATCTCATCTTCCAGATAGTAAGAACTATTTTCCAAAAATCTACTGTGGGCTGGATCCGAACCAAAGACTAGTAAGCAGAGGTTTCAGAAACCGGGCAGATGTTATTTGTGACCTGGACTCAGTGAGACTTCTGTTGTACAAACAGTTCCATTTTATTCCAATTCTCCTTCTTAAATATGCTGAATATCCTGATGAGAAAACCTAAAATCCTTTCAGTTACAAGTGCTTAGGTATTATTTCCAATGGGGAGAGAAAAAAACCTAAGCCCCCCCCCCCCATTCTGATGCTTTGTTTGAGGGGGATATCCTCAAAGTAACTCAGCTTCTTAAGGGAGTTAATCAGGGCATCACTTATGCCTATGTTTATGGGAAGCTCTTTTGAGGACATCTTTCACTATTCTGTCAGTCATTTTAGTAATTTTAACATCACCTTCTTCAAACATATTACAGAGTCCTTTTCAGCTAGTGTTAAGGAAACAAATTGAGTGTTCAACCATTAATTTCAACATAATTTTAAAAGTTATTATTTCATTCTCATTTTCTGGAAGGGGTCACCATGCGAGAAGAAACGAGAGACATCTTTGAACAAGGAGAAAACTGTGCCATTTTGGGGAGATGCTCACACAAAAAAACAGATTCACTGGCAAATCCAACTTAGATCTCAGAATAGCCCTTGGGAGTCCTTCTTTTTCATCTTTCAGATTAACCCTTATTTTCCGAGGAAATCCCTAAAATGGACGTCTGCTTGTGTATTGATATTAAAAACTAACTTCTATATTAGGTGTTTAGCAGAAAACTCGACAAGATTTTAGTATCTAAGCCAATAAATCGCCAACTGGAATTGTGAGCAGAATATAGCTAAGGATTCTTCCAATCATCAAACTAATGTATGCCAAACTTTTTTAGTAGGTATCAGACAGGAAATGTAAAAAGTTGGAGAAACATGGAATACCAATCGGAAAGATCGCAGCACCGAGAGCCCCTCCACATCTGCCAGACTCAGTTCCATTAAACTGAGGGACACGATAAATCCGTCAAAAATGTTCCAACCTTCTTGGAAATAATAGTAGGGATCCATGGCTATGAGCTTCAGGAACATTTCTGCTGTGAAAATTCCAGTGAAAACCTAAAGAGGGGAAGGCGGGGGGTAAGAAAAAGAAATAATAGAGAATGCCTTTACCATTATCTTTGAAGACATGTCCAAGAAGCCTCAAGACCCAGCCTTGCCTAAATTATGCCTCTGAGGACATCAGTCCTTCAATGTCCTGTGACTATACCACGTGATGCAGGATAGTCTTGTCTCCCTCGTGAATCAAGTGCTCAGTCCAAGTGTTTACATCATCATTGCCAGAACCACCCAAGAATGCATTTAAAAAATGATTTAATTTTTATTTTATTTTATTTTTTTAAATGTTTTATTTATTTCCGAGAGAGAGAGAGAGCGAGCGAGAGGGAGAAAGAGAGAGACAGTGTGAGCCGGGGAGGGTCAGAGAGAGAGAGGGAGACATAGAATCTGAAACAGGCTCCAGGTCCTGAGCTAGCTGTCAGCACAGAGCCTGATGTGGGGCTCAAACCCACGAACTGTGAGATCATGACCTGAGCTGAAGTAGGATGTCTAACCGACTGAGCCACCCAGGCGCCCCTAAAAAACGATTTTAAAGAGGGGCACCTGGGTGGCTCAGTCAGTTAAGGGTCTGACTTTGGCTCAGGTCATGATCTCGCAGTTTGTGGGTTCGAGCCTTGCATCGGGCTCTGTGCTGAACAGCTCAGAGCCTGGAGCCTGCTTCGGATTCTGTGTCTCCCTCTCTTTCTGCCCTCCCCCGCTCACACTATGTCTCTTTCTCAAAAATAAATAAATATTTAAAAAAAAACTGATGTTAAGCAATAGGAATCCTTCTATTTTTTTTTTTTTTTTTTTTTGAGACAGAGAGAAACAGAGTGTGAGCAGAGGAGGGGCAGAGAGAGGGAGACACAGAATCTGAAACAGGCTCCAGGCTCTGAGCTGTCAGCACAGAGCCCAACTCTGGGCTCGAACTCATGAACTGTGAGATCATGACCTGAGCCAAAGTCAGACGCGTAACTGACTGAGCCACCCACGTGCCCCTAGGGACTCCTCCTAAAAGTCAGCAGTCATTTTGAATGTTTATGCTTGGGGCATCTGGCTAAAAAAAAAAAAAAAAAGAAAAAAGAAAAGAAAGAAATTCATTGAGTCATGATTATATTAAAAATATAGCATTCCTGATTTGATATTACGTGTCTTATTAACTTTAGACAAATGCTGCAGGGTTTCTTATTTTATTTTAAATTGTAGAAGCAACAGAACACTGTTGCAAGTGTGCAAAATATAGGAAAACATTAGTCTCCACCTTGCATACAACTATCAGTTTTGTGTATTCCCTTTCCGTTTTTTCCCCCAATGCGTGTATATTTTGACAGAGTTGTAAAATCATGGAGTACATAATACCTTGGGTCTTGTTTTTCACTTATCACCACTCAGTTCATGTTGCTACGTAATCTTCCTACTTCCCCTTTATATCACTTGCATAGAATTCTATTGGGTGATAATATCCTTAAAGAACTTTCTTACTGTTGGACACTTTGGTGCTTCCTTTTGACTTTTTAAATGTTATAATCAATGACATAATCACTGTTTAGATTGAGAGCTTACTGGGTATGACAATGACTCGCTCCCTGTGTTACCCGACTCCCACTTTCCTACCGTTCAGAGCACCCTGTGTTTCCCAGTGCCTTCGTCTCCGCACAGGAGTTAATAATATCACATGCGGTAAAAAGTAAAATCCCATGGACAGCGGTTTCGATAAGACCTGTACCCTCATTCTAACAAGCTGACCATGTAACACCACACTCTTACTAAATGTTACGATTTTAGAGGGAGACTTTATATGTAATAGGTTTTAAACTCATAATAAATCAGTACTTGCAACTACCTGGTTACCAATTTTACTGTTAAAATGGTAGGAGTTTAAATGAAGGAGTTTAAGGAAACCTTTGAAGATACAGTCTGAGGACAGAACTGAAAATAGGGAAAAATACTTAGATGACAGATGCTGTTTGGAAAGAGACTCGATGAATGTATAGCAATAACAAAACAGAATGGCATGATGGGGATCAGAATGGATGCGTGGGCTGTAAAGTTTTATGTCCCTGTACTTTTCCATGGTTCCGCATTTTTCTAAACTGAAGATGCGGTATTCTAGAACTGAAAGAAAATATTCCCTGAAGAGATCCAGTGAGAAGCAAAAATCAAAGTTCACGGTGCACGCTATGTATCTACCGAGGGAGCATCACTCTAAGTCAGGGCATCAATCCCTGACAGACATTTTACCCTCGGCGTCAACCCATGGAAGGTTTCTCTACATAGAAATGGTGGCCTGCTTACCGCAAACCAAATAGAGACTGAGTTCACCACTGGTTCTGGCGAACACGCAGGAAATACTCAATAGTCATCACTGGCTAACTGACCACAGAATATTTACACTGCGGGAACTTTAGTTCCTAAGAGAAAATCAATCATGACACAGTTACTGTGGCTTTTCAGTGGGATGAACGGTATCCAAAGGCCTGGGGGAATGCCTGGGACAGAGGTCGGCAAGCGGGTTATTCCAACATACGGTACTGTCACCTTTTGGGGTTTTGGAAAAAATAAATTGTGATTATTTTTGTGGTATGAAGGAATCACTATTTTTTAAGTTTTATTTATTTATATGTTTGTTAAAAAAAGTTTTTTTTATAGTTTTTAAACTTATTTTTGAGACAGAGAGAGACAGAGCATGAGCAGGGGAGGGGCAGAGAGAGAGGGTGACACAGAATCCAAAACAGGCTCCAGGCTCTGAGCTGTCAGCACAGAACCTGATGCGGGGCTCAAACCCACGAGCTGCGAGATCATGACCTGAGCTGAAGTCAGCCACTTTACTGACTGAGCCACCCAGGCACCCCTAAGTTTTATTTTTTAGATTTACTTTTATAATTTATTTTGATGGGGGGAGTATAAGTGGGGAAGAGAGAGAGAGAGAGAGAGAGAAAGAGAATCCTAAGCAGGCTCCATGCCCAGCACAGAGCTCAAAGTGGGGGTCCCTACCTCAGCCATGCAGAATGGAGAGACCTTGGACATGTACCGGGGAACATGATGGGCGGCAAGGACTAGTCAGAGAAAGGGTCTCCTCTGCCACATGTGTTTTCATAATCATAATCAAAATGATATTATAACACTTGAATAGCATATTTGGATTTAACATAAAAACTCTGTGTGTGTGTGTGTGTGAGAGAGAGAGAGAGAGAGAGACAGACAGACAGACAGACATCAGGCAGAGACCATGCCCAAATTTAATGGTAACAATTAGATTTGACTTGCTTGTGGTGAAACTCCTAAGGAATAATGACGCCCAGAAGACCTAGAGGATTCTTCCCAACTAATTCTTCCCGATCTATGAAAATCCAATCAACTCCTGATTTTTGGACTAAAGACATAAAACAGACAATCCCCAAAACACAACTATTTGACTTCAGAATGCACTGTCATCTATTTAAAAAAAAAAAAAAAAACCCTCATTCTTATCTTCTAAATAATGTAATAAATTAAATATATGACTTAAGCTAACATTAAAGTCAATCTGGCACAGATCAACTAACGGTGGAAACTGGATGAGAGCCCGGAAGTTGGGCGGGAGGGGGAAACCAGCCTGGAATTAAATGTTTCCCCGCGATAGGCCCCATATGGATAATTAAGATACGACAGTGCAGGCAAATTTATAGGTAGGTTTACTGCACTAGAAGAGCTCCCCTGTTTTGTGGTGCTTATGATTGAAGGTGAAAGGGAAGTGATGTGCTGGAGCACTGCAGGCAGCAATGTGAGAAAGGGAATGAGAAAAAAAAAAAATCCCGGAGTCCTTGGCTCAGGTTGCCAAAACCAACCCACTGCACCATGCCTCCCATTCTGTCACCATGCTTGGTTTTCTGCCAAGAGCTCCTAAATGACGTCTTCGAAGTTCTGCAGAAAGAGGGAACAGCCACGGGATCACAACAGTGAGCAGAAGTGGCTGGGGCTGGACCATATGTGGAAGCATTTGTCTTCCAATTAACTACAACTTTCTTTTCAACTAAGCTCCAGCTTCCAGTATCAGAAAAAGATGTCCTACGGGCAAAACGTGTTCTGATAATAAAATCCGGAGAGAATGTTCCATCTTACCAGATTTCCCACAGCCAAGACGTGTTCAAATTGTGGTGTCATAGGATGGTGCTCCATTGCCATAAACAGGGTATTCAGGACAATGCAGATGGTGATGGCCAGGTCCACAAAAGGGTCCATAACGATCAAGTTCACAATCTCTTTCAGTTTTATCCAGTAGGGGTGGCACTCCCAGATGAGGAAAGTATTGGCGAATTTATACCAGCATGGCGGGCACTTTCTCTGCGACTCTTCCAGCTCTGCAGTAAGGAACAAAGGTGGCCCTCAATCATGGTGAGAAAACAAAGAGGGTTTACAAGAGCTCCTCCTCCCCCTCCCTGAGTCATTAAGTTCATCGCTGCTATGAACCACGAGAAGAAAGGTAGTTTGAGCTGACCGTCCGAAGTGTGTGGTCCCCCCACAGCCATTTTCTTTCTCTTTGAAGGGAAAGAGGAGGCATGGGAAATACCAGGTCACTTCTCTGTTAACAACTATCTAGTTAGAAATTAGAGTGTGATCCATCGTTCTGGGAGCACGGCATAGTGGTTAGGGGCTTGGCCTTTGGAGTCTGACTCCCTGGTCCAACTGGCTTCAACACTCACAATGTGGAACATTGGGCAAGTTACAGATTCCTCTACTCTTCTGTTGCCTCATCTGAAGCAACACCCACTATACAGGCTATAGGACTACATGAGTCCTAGACTCTTCATCCACTGACTAAGTGCGCTGACGAATGTAAAGCAGACAGCGTAGCACCTGCACAAGGCAAAGTCCTCAATAAATGGCAGGTGCGATACTATACGCTGTATCGCTAAATTATCAGAGGAGCAATCAAAAGCATAGACTCTGAAATCAGACATATCTGGGTGCAAATACCAGCTCAGACACAGCTCACTGTGGGAACCTGAGTAAGTTACTTCAATTGCTGAATTAAAAGAGCTAAGATATATATAAAGCACCTTGGAACACCGTAGTGTAACAAAATGCTACCGAAGCATTTGCCGTTATTATTATCTTTACAGCAGAAAAGCAGTTGCAATGGGGCGCCTGGGTGGCTCAGTCGGTTGGGCATACGACTTTGGCTCAGGTCATGATCTCACGGTTTGTGGGTTCGAGCCCCGCGTCAGGCTCTGTGCTGACAGCTCAGAGCCTGGAGCCTGTTTCGGATTCTGTCTCCCTCTTTCTCTGACCCTCCCCTGCTCACGCTGTCTCTCTCTCTCTCAGAAATAAATAAAAAACATTTTTAAAAAATCTTAAAAAAAAAGCAAAGCAAAGCAAAGCAGTAGCACTGGTAGCCAGGCTACCACGTGCAGTGTGTCTCTTATGTTTCCAAAGAAGGGCAAGTCAGTGAGTTCACAACTCACGGCTGCGTTGGGTACAGGAGTCCCACTCCTTCCCCTGCTCCCTTCCCTTCCTCTCTCTCATCCTCCCCACTCTCTTCTTTTCCCCTTCTCTCTTGCCCTTTCTCCCCCCACCCTTCCCCTCTCTGTTTTCGTCTTTCCTTCCTCCACCTTTTTATTCTTTCCTTTTTTCTTGTCTTCTTTCTCTTTTAGAAACAGCACTGGTGTGTTTCAAACAAGCTCTTCTGTGGCCCCCAATGTATAAAACAGTAAACCAGGAACCCCTCTAGTTGAAACTCATCATGGACTTCTTCCTTCCCTGAGGCACTTCCCCGGATCCCAGGACTCTGATAGACATGGACTAAATATCACCAGACCAACATGACCTCTAAGGTCGTTCACAAAACGAAGATGGAAAAGGACCATCAGACAAGAAGGCAGAGAGCCATTCGGCAGGCAGCCACGACATTCTAGGCATGAGGCCCTGGGTAACAAAGCCCTCCTCAAGTTAAGTATGAATTAGAACAGGCTGGATTACAAAAATCCAAGGACCTTGATCTAGGAGGCTGTTCTTTAAGAGACGTGGCTTTGAAAACTCGTCGGCATGATAACCTTGGTTCCATGGGGTTGGATATAACCGCATCTGTCCCACACCCCAACCCTATTCTGCTGACAAAACCAAATCATGCAGGGAATGAATAAAAGTTTCCCAATGTTTTACCAAGAACAAGATGGCTGCCTGAAATTAGTCTACTTTCCCTTTTTCCAACCAGCTGGATGGTGCCCATGGTGATGGCTTTATTTCAGAGGGGGTGCTCTGGTTGGGTTTTTGATTGGCTCCCTGGTTGCTAAGAAAATGGTTGCCTTGGTTTTTCAGATTTAAGGGCCACAGTAAGCGCCACGTGGGAGTTTGCGTGGGAAAGGAAGTCTGTGAAGAAAATTTGCTTTGGCTTCTTCCTCATAGAACTCCCTCCCTTCCCAAGGTAAATTTAGTTTTCTAACCAAAAAAAGAAAATGAAAAGGTTTTCTTATTTCCATAAATTCTTATAGTACATATTTGGAAATTTGGTTCCTTTCCTTTTTTTAATCTCCTCCCTTCTCCAAGTGTCTGCTGTTCCCTGGCACGTGGAGGTTGAAGCCGCGACTGTTCGCGTTTCTGACAGGAGACACAATGGCACTGTTGTAGAGTGCACTAGGCGCCCAGTCTTTGCCAGATACTGAAGAGGGGTTTCCCTGCCCTATGGGGCACCAGGAAGATTCCTACAGGGATACTAGGGATCGTATCCACATCGTCTCGCATATGCTCTCAGGATAATCTTTTCCATTCCACAGTTAAGTCAATGTGGAGCTTTAGAAAAGATCAGTTAGGTGAATGTAAAGGTTTAGAAAGTGACGCTCAGCTTTGCCAACGGTTACTGGCCCCGCATGCCTGACACGGCTAAGAATTTGGTCTGGGGGAAGACGAGATGTCCAAAGGCTTGTGGGGTTCCCCTTACTTTGCTCCTCTTGCATATTTTCAGAGAGGTAACCGTAGTCTCGACCTCAGGTGCACTGGGAATCGTTTTCAGAGAGGGCCTCACTATTCCACCAAGATGGTGGCGTTAGCAGACCCTGAGGTTTTTCAAGGCAGGGCTTCTCTCGATTCAATTCAACAACGTTTAAGCACCTACTGTGTGTGAGGTGCTGGGAATACTTTGGTGAACAAGAGTCCCCATCCTCACAGAGCCTACAGCCACCCTGGGAAAGGTGGAGAGCAGATAAGCAATTGTGCAGACACTGGGTGCTTGTCAGTTGAACCAAAGAGTGAATCGACAGATTGTGGCAGCAACAGCGATGGCCAATTACCTCTATAAGGAGTTTCTGAGACTGTTTTACCTGAGAACCAATAACACCAAGTATTATCATTCATGTCTTCAGCGTTACTTCACCAACAGTCTCTCCTTCTCCCCCAGCCTCGCTGCTTTGAGAAGGGAGATGGTACTACTCTCTGCCCACATCCTGCCCCCAGTCCTCGGAAATATCCCCAAGCGGATGGCACCGCTGACTGAATTCTGCTGAGTTTACTGGGTCCGGGTGAGCACATCTGCCAATGTGATAGGTGTGACAAACAGCAAGGTGGGATTTTCTCATTACGTACATGGTTCTTGAATGCTCCAATGTGGTTTCTAAGCTATCGGGTAGGTGGAAGCCTGCTTCTCTGGTTTGGTGATCCAAAGATCAAAATAATGTCAGAGTTTCTGAACTGAAGGTCTGAGAAGCAATAACAATGATTTGTTCAATGCTGGCTTTCAGTGCCGTACTAATTATTAAACAGAGAGGGCCCTGCACAGCAAAGGAAACAACCCACAAAACTAATAGGTAACCAACAGAATGGGAAAAGATAGGTGCAAATGACATATCAGATAAAGGGTTGATATCCAGAATCTATAAGGAACTCACCAAACTCCACACCTGAAAAACAAACAACCCAGTGAAGAAATGGGCTGAAGATATGAACAGACACTTCTCCAAAGAGGACATCCAGATGGCCAACAGACACATGAAACGATGCTCAGCATCCCTACTCATCAGGGAAATACAAATCAAAACCACACTGAGATACCACCTCACGCCAGTCAGAGTGGCTAAAATGAGCAAATCAGAGAACTCTAGATGCTGGCGAGGATGTTGAGAAATGGGCACCCTCCTACTCTGTTGGTGGGAATGCAAACTGGTGCAGCCCCTCTGGAAAACAGTGTGGAGGTTCCTCAGGAAACTAACAATAGAACTCCCTTATGACCCAGCAATAGCACTGCTAGGAATTTACCCAAGGGATACAGAAATGCTGATGCATAGGAGCACATGTACCCCATTGTTCATAGCAGCACTCTCCACAATAGCTAAAACATGGAGGGAGCCTAAGTGTCCATCAATGGACGAATGGATCAAGAAGATGTGGTTTATCTATACCATGGAATACTACATGGCAATGAGACAATGAAATCTGGCCATGTGTAGCAACATGGATGGACCTTGAGGGTGTTATGCTGAGCGAAATAAGTCATGCAGAGAAGGACAACTATCATGTTTGCACGTATAGGAGGATTAGGAGGAACTTAACTGAGGACCATGGGGGAGAAGAAGGGGGGAAATGGTGGGAGAAATGATGGGGGAAAGGGAGAGAGGCAAACCATGAGAGACTCTTGAATGCTGAGAAACAAACTGAGGACTGATGGATGTGGGGGGAGGGGGAGATGGGCACGGAGGAGGGCACTTGTGGGGATGAGCACTGGGTGTTATATGGAAACCAACTTGAGAATAAACTATTTGTAAAAAAAAAAATAATTAGAAAGAATAAAATCACTTACAAATAAATAATACCCAATGTGCCATAAAAACAAAAAAACAAAACAGAGAGGGGCCAGCGGTGAAAGAGGAATGGAGCTTTCCTAATGCCCTTTAATTCCCTCTCATGTTCTTCAGTCCCAGCCATTCATTGTTCTATGCTTATGGCAGTTCTGTCTCCTCGGCTTTAACAAAGGGAGCTGAATACTAGGGGAGGGGATGGAGGTCTGTCTGAGCAGTGAAAGGCTATGTGAACATTAGGACTTAGAAAGGGGAGAAAGAGCTGGATCGGCTTCTTACTCAGGAAGGCAGCTCTGACTGTCTCTCCCCTGAGCTACCCCGACATCTATTTTCTTATCATGTGTGTGCTGGTGGGTGGGGGGTGGAGAATGAGCGTAGCAGAAGAGGAAGAGAAGGAAGAGCACAGCGAGAAGAGGAAGAAGAGGGAGAAGAAAAAGACAGAGCTTCCACTCCAGTGTTTCCAGCCAACTCAGCAGAGGAATGGAGGTACCAAGGCCTCCCACAGGCAGCCTGCAGCACCGACCCCCACACCGTTCCAAGCATAGCAAGGTTCAGCTCCTCAAGCATTTCTTGAGCATTTACCTTCACTAGACCCTGAGCCAGGTCGCTGTAGTGGTCAACTACGGTAACTGCTGCACCGCACCGATAGTTCTACGGTTCTGAGGTCATTGCCAGTAATAAAGGTGCCTGTTGGAGGGGTTCATTTGTCTTTCTCAATTTCCACAGATTCTCAGAGAAATCCCATTCTTGTCCCCAAATGAAGAATAACTTTAGCCAAAGTTCTTAAGCTAGTGTTTCTTAGCTTGGAATTTTTGAAAAAAAGTTTATTTACTTATTTTGAGTGAGAGAGAGAGAGAGAGAGAGAGAGAGGAAGAAGGAGAGGGAGAGGGAGATTCCCAAGCAGGCACTGCGCTGCCAGTGTGGAGCCTGACTTAGGGCTTGATCTCATGAACTGTGAAATCATGACTTGAAAGGAAATCAAAAGTCAGACGCTACCACAGATGTCCCTGCTGAACTGTCTCTTTCTCTCTGAGTAGAAGTGGTACTGAACTTAAAGGAGTCAAAAAAGAACTTGTCCTAAGATACCAGGATAATTTCGAATCTCCTTATGTCTGGGACTCTGGTCATCGTTGGGTGAAGCCTGGGGGATTGAACTCTGAAGGACAGCAATCTGAGGCCTCGAGAATATTCTGGATCTCTAGTGGGAAAGCTCAGCTAAAGCAATGTGAATCAAAAGAAGATTTATGCAGAATCAGTCAGAATCTTGTGAGAGAAAACGCAGCCATTGAATCTACCTCTGAAGAGAGCCAGGGGCGCCTGGAAGGCCAGGCTGTGTCATGGAGGAACCACCTAATACCAAGTTCAGGTGCCGATGGCAACATTACTGCAGATACGCTCTGATTCAACAGTGGTTGCTCTTTTCCTGTGGCACAGAGTGCCGAAATAAGAGGGGTTTCAGCTTACCTATTCACACATCAAATATATTTATGGATATGTGGGGGTGTTTGACGAGAGGCAGAATTAGGTGCAATCAAAATGCACAGTACATTAGTCCTTCAGGGAAAGCCAAGAGGGTTGTAGGTAGCTAAAGAAGAAAAGAGGAAGATATGTTTCGGGGTAGAGGGCAGGAGGGGGATTCCACCTTTTCATATCTTCACACTTCAGTCAACATCCTTTGTGCTGGTTCCTCAGGACAAGTATAGGCTTCTTGAGATCTGCCGGCTCACTCCTAAATGTCATTCCTTCATACTTCTTATCTATCCGTGTACAATGCGGGTAGCAGCTCTGAAGCCCTTATTTGATTCTCTGCATGCAGATATGGGATGCCGATTTCTAGAACAAGTAGACTATTTCTAAAGTTCAGAGTCAATTTTTGCAAAAGTCAGGCCAACGGACAGGGATTATATTTATCATGCACTCTACATATTTATATCTAGGTGGCTCAGGCTGACATCAAGGGCACATACCTTCTACTAGTGTATTTGTAACAACACTCAATATGCTGTTGATTCTGTCCTTCCGTCCATAGGAGGCCAGCTGGTCCATGGAAACTAAGAGAGATCCAGGGCCTTTCTTCTTAATTTCCACCTCAGTTGTAGCCTAGAAAAAATAGTAAATCAGGTGAGTAAAGTCTTATAAAGGTGAAAGCTGGGTCATACTGGACATACAGTGCAGAGTGTGAGCAGAAACATATGCTCTTCATAACATCTTTGTACTTTGATCCTGCAATCTTATTAACCTCAGGAAGTAGAATGAAACATGACCAAGGATCATCCTTAGCGCTACTCATGAGACGACCAGGTTAAGTTTGTACAGATCTATGGTGAACCAAAGAATCTGCCTGGGACCCAAACACCTCATCTGGTCAATTCCAAGCACACAGTGGAAAGACCAGATCTTCTGCGGCGATGCCAGCAGAAGGAGAACCTGAGTTTTCCCATCTCAGTCTCATTTCCACAGCATTTGGCTAGAATTGGACCACATGATGAAGTAAGTCGAATTCATTCTATTCGACATTTCATTAAAGGGCCAAGTCCCTGATCACACTGAGTGCTGTAGACGTTGCTTCCTCCATGGGTAGAGGCACCATCACTCTCCCAAACTGTCACTTCCAAATGTCAAACCTGGGCCTAACTGAATGTTAGCAAGTTGAAGTTCTACCCTAAATCTCCCCCAAGCCACTGTAAAGATGATGGTAAGGATTTTGCTTTTATTTTATTTTATTAAAAACAATTTAAAAAAAATTTTTATTTATTTTTAGGAGAGAGAGAGAGAGAGAGAGAGCGTGAGCAGGGGAGGGTCAGAGAGAGAGGGAGATACAGACTCTGAAATAGGCTCCAGGCTCTGAGCTGGCAGTCAGCACAGAGCCTGACGCGGGGCTTGAACCCACGAACTGCGAGATCATGACCTAAGCGAAAGTCGGACGCTTAACCGACTAAGCCACCCAGGCGCCCCTTTATTAAAAAATTTTTAATGTTTATTTCTGAGGGGGGAGAGAGAAAGAGAGAGAGAGAGAGAGAGAGAGAGAAAACACAAGCGGGGGAGGGGCAGAGAGAGGGAGACACAGAATCTGAAGCAGGTTCCAGGCTCTGAGCTGTCAGCACAGAGCCCGACGCGGGGCCCGAACCCACGAACTGTGAGATCATGACCTGAGCTGAAGTCGGACAATTAACCGACTGAGCCAACCAGATGCTCCTCGCTATTTTAAGTAAACTTATAGTGCTATATATGTTTATCTTGCCCTTGTAAAATTTTACTTTATAAGTTAACCTGCAATGTTCAAATTCCCAGTCAAACAAAAAGGGCAGAAAACACCACCAGACTGTTATACAAACTATTTTTTACATGCTCCACTGTGGGCAATACTGGTAGGGGAGATTATAGCATGGTGTTAATGTCCCTTGCCCGTGTTCTCTGTGCCAACCTGAATGTGCTACATTAGGTCAGATTAAACACAGTGGATTAAAAGCTAGCTTTCAAGTAACCATGCTGTACACTATAACACATCATCCAGGTAATGTTGGCTGTCCCTCCCACTGTGAAGGTAAGAAGAGTCCCCATCTCTCAGAGGGCAGGGAAGACACATGTTTGTATGAAGCTAGAAAAGTCAGTCTGATCAGGACCAGAAGGACCCTAGCTGTTTTTGAAAAGAAAATAATAGTCTCTAGGGAGCTACATCCGAAAGGCTTTCTGTCCTTAGATATGTTTAGATGTTAAGAACTGTACAGAAGAAAGTATCTGGCACATCATAATGCATCTTATTACAGTGTTTCATCAAGCTGTTTCACGGATTCAGACATTTGTTTTTCCATTGGATTTTGTTTTGTTTGTTTGACAGAGCTACAGAAGAAATGGAAAAGAAAAAGAACTGATTTCCTTGGGAATTCCTTGGCTACATTACTCTACAAACATCCGTATATGTAACAATGATTTGTTGACCATTATCTCAGGTCATAATAAGATAGATTTCTCTGGTAAGCCACTTTGTGCTCCAATTCCCAGCCTGATATTCATGACACCTAATAAATCAGATTAAATGACTGTATTTTAAAACGACAATCATCTAAAAATGAACACAGAGAGGCCCCATACAGTGGCATTTATTCATTCTAAATTTTTACTGAGCTGCTCTGTGGATCTACAGTACATGGTAGCTAATTTTCATAACGCTGACTCTCAAGGTAAGATCTAATGAACTGGCTGATTCATCAAGAAAGGATGAAACTGCATTTAAAATAGCTTTGGTTCTAAGTAGATCTTACTGTTTTCTGGACTTGCTGGATATAACAAGATATAAATTCTTGAGACCTTAATAATATTAACCTTATAAAGTTAATAAAAATGATGTCTAAAGGACCTAGTCAAATCATTAGATTCTCATTTAGTGGTATCTATTTGAAAGCTAAAATAATTTTTAGCATGGGTCAAAAAATCCACATAAAGAGAAGTTTATCCCCAAACTTCATATGAAGATGGAACAATTATTATTTCTATCTTTCTATGTAAACTGAAAATAAACTGTAGCAGGGATATGTGGTGACAACCTCTAGAATATTAAAATTTGTTCCACAGTAAGGCATGCTATAGAACGTATCTTAAATTTCAAGAAAGAAATAAAGAGGATACCAAGAAAAAGAAGTTTCAAAGATCATACTTAGGGAACTTTACAGGGTAAAAATAGAAATTCATTATGTCGCCTTTTTACACAGGCAAGAGCATTTACCACAGATCCAAGTAACTGGTTCCATTGAAAAGCCTTGTGGTAACAGTAAGACATCCAGAAAAAAATCCCCTTAAATTTGTAAATTAAACAACAGACTTCTAAAAGTCCATAGATCAAAGATAAAATCACAAAGGAAATTAGAAAATACTTTGAGGATAATGAAAACAATACGTTAAGATTTATGGGATGTGGCTAACACAATGGTTTGAGAAAATTTTATAGCACTAAGTGCTGTAAAAGATATAAAATCAATGCTCTAAACTTCCACCTTAAGAAATAAGAAAAAGATCATGGGGCGCCTGGGTGGCTTAGTCGGTTAAGTGTCCGACTTTCGCTTAGGTCATGATCTCGCGGTTCGTGGGTTCGAGCCCCGCGTCGGGCTCTGTGCTGACTGCCGGCTCAGAGCCTGGAGCCTGTTTCAATCTGTGACTCCCTCTCTCTCTGACTCTCCCCTGCTCATGCTGTCTCTGTCTCTCTCTCCTAGAAATAAATAAAACATTAAAAAAAAATTAAAAAAAAAAAAAAGAAATAAGGAAAAGATCAAATTAAACTGTGGGTAAGTAGATGAAAGAAAATAATAAAAATAAGAGTGGAGACTAATGAATTAGTAAATGGACAAACAATAGACAATTCAAAAGGGCAAATGTTTTTTTTTAAAACAGATTAATAAAATTGATAATTCCCTGGCAAGACTGATGAAGAAAACAAGAGAGAAAACACAAATTATAATTTTTAGGAACAATGAGGACATTACTATAAATCCTACTGGCATTATTGGGATAATAAGAATATATTGTAGGGGCTCCTGGGTGGCTCAGTCGGTCAGTGTCCAACTTCGGGTCAGGTCGTGATCTCGCAGTCATGCGTTTGAGCCCCGTGTTGGGCTCTGCTCTGACAGCTAGCTCAGAGCCTGGACCCTGTTTTGAATTCTGTGTCTCCCTCTCTCTTTGACCCTCCCTTGCTCATGCTGTCTCTCTCTCTCTCAGAAATAAATAAAACATTAAAAAAAAATTAAAAAAAAAAAAAAAAAAAAAAAAAAAAAAAAAAAAAGAAATAAGGAAAAGATCAAATTAAACTGTGGGTAAGTAGATGAAAGAAAATAATAAAAATAAGAGTGGAGACTAATGAATTAGTAAATGGACAAACAATAGACAATTCAAAAGGGCAAATTTTTTTTTTAAAACAGATTAATAAAATTGATAATTCCCTGGCAAGACTGATGAAGAAAACAAGAGAGAAAACACAAATTATAATTTTTAGGAACAATGAGGACATTACTATAAATCCTACTGGCATTATTGGGATAATAAGAATATATTGTAGGGGCTCCTGGGTGGCTCAGTCGGTCAGTGTCCAACTTCGGGTCAGGTCGTGATCTCGCAGTCATGCGTTTGAGCCCCGTGTTGGGCTCTGCTCTGACAGCTAGCTCAGAGCCTGGACCCTGTTTTGAATTCTGTGTCTCCCTCTCTCTTTGACCCTCCCTTGCTCATGCTGTCTCTCTCTCTCTCAGAAATAAATAAAACATTTATAAAAAAAAAAGGATATATTGTAATTTTAAGTTGAACCATCGTCAGACAGGAAGCTTCTCTATAATATTTATAGCAGTCAGAGTATAACAGGATACAGTATCATAATAAATAAATCCAAAAATTTATGTGGGCTAACCTAAAAATAAAAAAGAATAATTGTAAACAACTTCAAGTCATTTCACCTTGCATAAAATGGACAAACTTATCAAAACACAGCTTACCAAAACTAATAGAAGAAGAAATAGAAAATCTAAATAGCTCACATTCGAAACTATTAATAAAAAAAACCTTACAATAAAGAGAACTCTAGTCCAGAGAGCTCTACAAGTGAATTCTATCAAACATTTACAGAAGAAATAATACCTATACTAATACCAATTCTTTCAGAAAACACAAAAGGGAATACTTCCCAACCTGTTTTATAAAGTTAACATAACTGTGACACTAAACCTAACAAAAACATTACAACAAAAGAAAATCAGAGACCAATATCCCTCATGAATGGCGATATGAAATCCTTAACAAAACTTAAGAAGATAGAACCCAGCAATATATACAAAGATAATAAATACATCAGGACCAACAGGATTTATCCCAGGAAAGCTAGTTTCACATTAGGAAAGAAGTCAGTGTCATTCATCACTTTAGCAGAATAAAGGAGAAAAAAACCATCTGATTATCTCAGATGCAGTAAAAGAACATTTAATAAAACTGAACACCTCGGCATAATAATATTTCTTAGCAAGCCACAAATAGAACATAGCAGTTTCAATCTGATAAAGAACATCTGTGAAAACCTATAGCCAACATTATACTTCTTGCTGGAACATTAAATATTTTTCCACTAA